ATAAGCTATTAAATACTTTTAAGTAAACTTTTTCACTAGGTTATTAAGTATATATATTTAAAATTTTATATGAATTAAATAAATATTCATTAAATATAAGTAAAAATAATAATTATTATTTTTTTTGTAATATATTATATGTCTTAATATAATAAATTACATAATAGTAATAATTAATAAAATAAGAAAAATATATGCTAATAGCAATAATATTAAAATACTTATCACAATAGAGAGAGATAAGTCTTGAAACTAGATTTCATTACTCCTATTTCTTTTATTAGAAGAGATAAAGTCTTGAGATCAGATCTTATCTGGAAATTCAATTTAATTAATAAGAATATATTATTTTCTTATTATACAAGATATAAAGTTATATTTAATATTTCTTGATATATATTATTATTAATTTTATTAATATTAATTTTATCACTTACCTTAGAAATAATCTTGATATCTATTCTTGAAGATAAGATATAATCTTAAATTATTGATTTCTTGAATATAGAAGTTCTTTTATTATTAGTATTATCTAATATAATATTATCAATTTTTTTAGTTTGATTTATATTTTTTTATATATAAAATATTAACTGAGATTCCTATCTGCAGAAATATTATTAGAATTTAATATAGAATTTTATTCTTCATTCTGCATAGTTTTTTTGTTATTTTCACTAAATATAAATACTAATATAGTCTCTGATTTCAGATTCTCAAGCTCATTAGTTATTAAAGCTAACTCTTATTCTAATTTAGCTATTTTAAATTTAAGAGATAATATTTTGAATTTTTTTTAATGAATTATTTTAAATAGAGATCATATCTTTTTGGACTGAAGATAACTTATTTTTTAATATCTTGATTATAAACTTAAGTAATTTGATTTTCTTAAATTTTGTAATATTCTTAATCTTGAATTCAGTAATAAAAATATTCTTTTATGTATTATATAAAATAAGATTTATAGCTATTTATGCTCATTAATAATCTATAAAGTATAAGTATATAACTTTTAGATTTCAGTATTATTTTATAATAAATTCTAATTTTACTCCTTTCTTTTTTAATTAAAAGTTTTTATTTACTTTATATATTTATTTTATAATTTCTTGCTAAGCTTATTAATTTTGATTTTGAATTTGATAGTATTATGTATTTTTTTTTTCTAACTCTTCTTTCTTCTCATATATTATCAAGTTAATAGTCTTTAATATTTTGAAATATATATATATTAGCTATAATTTAAATTATCAATATACAAATATTAAAAATTAGTTATAATTGATAAAATAGGATATATACATAAAGAATATGTATTTTAATATCTATTTGCAAGTTCATATTCAGAATAAAATAAATTAGTGAAATACTAGCATTACTATTAAATAATAGATAATATACTAAAAAAATAAATAAGATATAAAGAGTAAATAGTATTACTAATAAATATTATAAAGCCAGATTAACTTATTTATCTAAAAAGATGATTAAGAAAATTAAAAACTCAATAGGTAAAGGATCTAATATTATTTATATTATAGTAAAAAAATATCATATATCTCTTTTTTATATTAAAGAGTATATAGAAAATTAAGAATGTAAATAATAAGTAGATACTATAATTTTAAGTATATTATCTAGAAATTTCAAATTCATAAATGATTCTCTAAATCATAACTTTTGAGATAAAAAAATTGAAAGAATATATGATTTATATAGTAAACTTCCATATTAGTTTGCTAAAAATATTAATAATTAATTAAATATATATAAATATTTCAGAATTTTATTTTTTTTATATATTTGTATATCTTTAAATACAATAAAATATTTCAGAATATTCTGGAATATTTATATATTTTTTATTATATATTAACTATTATATATATAACTAATATTTCAAAATATTTTAAAACTTTTCTTTATATATAAATAATAAAAATATTTTTACAAAACAGGATACTTACATAACTAATATAGATTATATCTATAAAAAATATTATAATACTAATACAATATTTCTTTCAGATGAGATGATTCAAGAAATTAAAGAATTAATAGGAATAGTATTTGATGTAATAAATATAATAACAAAAAAATATCATATATCTCACTTACATATTATTAATTATATAAAAAATTAAAAATATCAATAATAAATAAATTCTTAATTATAAACTAAAAGTGAAATTTTATTACAAAGCAAATCTTTAGATAATGAATTAAAGATAAGTTGAAAACTTGAAGCTCAGCTTTCTTGAGGCTCTATCTCTTTTTTGAATTATAGTTTTTTAAATTTACATTTAAAAGAAATAAAATCTTGAGTTAAAAATTTATTTATTACTTTTTTTAGCAAAGAAATAAAAAAGAAAAGTTTAAAATCTTGATTTAAATCTATTTATATATCTAATTCAATATCTAATAATAACTCAATATCAGTTAATACTGATAACTTTACAAAAAAATAAGTAGTAAAAATCTAAATATATTATATAAAAAAAACTAGAAGAGATAAAAAAAATAAAGCAAATATAATTTATCTATTAGTTACTAGTTAGATTTATCTTTTCTTTATTTATATTATCATTTCTAGAAGAGATATATTTAGATATGAAAATATCTTTACTTTATAAGTAAAGATAGCACAGTAAGTATGTGATACTTATTTATTACCTATTGTAATACATTACAATTTCAAAATTTTATAAGTTATAACTAGTTGCAACTAGGTGATGCTTTATTTGTCATCATATTGCAATAGTTGAGGAGCTATCTTTATTTATAAGAGTAACTTTTCATAAAGATTATTTATTTTAATCTTAGACTTAAGAGTAGTATATAATAATTTTTTAACTTCTCATAATTTATATTTTTTTTTAAAGTTAAATTATCAAAATCTAAGTTAAAGTCTATAGAAGCATATTACTTATTATCTGTCTTTTAAGAAAGTTAATTAAATATCAAAGACTTATTATTTTGAAATGTGATAATATAATTTACTTCAAGTTTATTCTTGATTTTATATATATTTATTAGAATAAAATACTCTTTACTATTATATATAAGTTTTAATTCTTATTTTAATACAAGCAAATCATAATTATATTTATTTAAAAAAGTATTAGATAAAATTAATATGAATTTGAAATATTTAACTACTATAAAATCAGAATATATAGTGCAATTTCAGATAAAATTTATTAATATATTGTAAATAATTTTAAGTGATTCAGTAGAAATGATAATAATACTTCTAAGATTATATTTTTCTTTTGTATCAATTACCAACTTTAATTATTTAATTATATCTTTAGATATAATTAGAAAATTTGCACTAGAATTTATTGTGATCATTAAGATTATTAATTATTTAAACTTATATTTTGTAGTTATTACATTCATAGCTAGATCTTTTTTTTAAATAAAATTAATTTTTATAGGATTATTTATAATTTCTTCTTTTTCTAACTCAGATATATCTGGAACTAGTTCTTAATAATTTGTAAAATCTAAATTTATAATAGATAGAATTATATTATTTGTAGAATTTTTAATTATTTTTATTATATTTAAATCATTAAATATATCTAAAATAATTTTTTAAATCTGTTTATCAATAATTATATCTGAACTCTTTTATACTTTATTAAAGAAGTGGAAATAACATAATTATGTTATTTCCACTTAGTCTAGGTTATTCTCACTCGGATATGTCTCATAATGACAGAAATATGACATCGTCATCAGTGTCGTGATCCATTTTTTATGATACAGACTAAGATGTCATGATCTATTTTTTATGACATAAACTAAGGTGTCGTGATCTAATTTTTATGACACAGACTAAGATGTCGTGATCCATTTTTTATAACACAGACTAAGGTATCATGATCTAATTTTTATAACACGGACTTGAGATATTTATAGTCTACATATCAGGTGCTATATAGATTACATTTGTATCACTGATTAAGAACTGCTAAGACATGCGTCAGTATGATGGTTATTTTGCTTTTTAGATCACACTCGAATGACATGCATTTTGCTTTTTATGATACATATCAAGATGGCGTATTTTGTATATCAAGCCACATGTGATATAATGTATACCAGTTTAGTAATCGTAACTGATTTCTACCATTAGGCTACATAGGCAAAAAAAATACTAACAATACATTCAGTTATATATCGTTATTTGCTAGTCCAATCCTTCTGCGTTTTCTGTTATAACTCAAATTCGATAATGATATATTGTATGCTGATTTAGTGTTCACGGCTGATTTCTGATATTAGACCATGTAGATAAAAAATATATCTAACGATACATTCAATCATATGTCATCATTTGCTAGAGGCATATAACCAAAGTATATGTTATCTGGACATTCTATCAAGATTATTACTCATGGCATGATTATCACCAAATAGTTCATGTATCATATTCATGATTTTAGATCAATCAAGAATATATTGCCATTCTCTTTTTCCACTATCTACTCGTGCTTGATTCCGAGTAATACCAATATATGAAAACCTTTTCCCTAGAACAGTGTTATTTAATGGTTTTTTATTATTAATATCACACCAAGTACAATACGCTTGATATAAACTTACTGAATTAACTTTATCAATTCTATTTTTGGGCCATAATGAAATATAGTTGATTATGAATTGAATATAGTCAGGGTAAATTGGAGATAACTGCCAATTTGTATCATCTGGTATATAATCTTCATCATTACCTATTATCTCATCAATTTGCACTTTTAATGTATTAATTTCGAATTGCATTTTTTGAATCTGCTCTTTTAATGCAAGTTCAATCTGTAAGGTAGCAATTTGCTGTCTCAATGAATCAATTTCGGATTGCATGTTTAGAAATATTAGTAATACTTATTTTTTTCATGTTTTCAATATCAGGATATACAGCAAATTGTATCATTATTTTTATCTCTAAAAAATTTTCAGTGATAACTTTAGAGACAACTTTGGTGACAGATTTATTAATAAATTTCCGTTTTAAATTCTTTTTTATCTTGTTCTTCTATACTGTCACTGAAAGTCACTAAAAATAAAGTAAAATTCTAGGAAAAATAAAACTTTACCTATGATATACCTTTGATATATATCATATAATATATATACGTATATATGTGATATACCCATATATAAAAAAAGAAAAAAAAAAGTAAAGAAATTTGTTTTTTTTAGAGTTTTCAGTGACAAACATCTAAAAAGCTTTCTAAGAGATAAAAAACACGAAATTTGATAGAGTTCTTGTCTCTGAAAAATATTTGTCACTAAAAATTTTCAGAGATACTTGATTATACTAAGATATCGCATGTATACCCACTATGTATTTTTTCCAACTGCCTCTGATTATTATGCCATCTTCTCCAGCTTCTTCTGATGATTATACTCTCTTCTACGATATTTCTGTGCATGGGGGTCACAATAACCATAATCGGAATAAGTTAACTTAATATAACTATATTCTTTACAAGGATAATGAATAGGTGAATCCCGGTAAACTTTACATCCCTTGGAATGATAACATGGCCGATTACAGACTTCTCCAGTTCTAAGGATATAGGGCAATGATAAAATGCCATTCTTTTTGATATTTATCTCGATTGAGTATATAATATGTATTGATTAATATTCTTTGAAATTAATTTTCATTTTGAACTTTTTAATTACGAATAATATACTTTCAGAAAAAAAATGAGTATCCAAAGTAAATATAACATGCCTATTGTATCCGCACTAACCGATGTGTCAACTGTGGATAATCAAAATTTCCAGAGTGAAGCTCATGCCTATAAAGGCACTCTTAAGAGCTGTTTCACAATAGAAACCATCGATCACGTGCCAGTAGAGGTGAAAGTACCACCTTCTCAACTAGAAAGCCCAGAAAATTTCGAGCCAGAAATAGAGGAAGAAAATAGCAGGACGTTGTATCACTGGAGGCCCAAAGCTTTTTCTCAATCACAGATTTCGGAAAATGGAAAAACTGGTCAATTATTCCGATACTTTAGTGGTGATTATTTAATAGGATTATCAACCCGTGATAATATAGTTGCAGAAAATAATGAGGATTTGTCTGCAATTATTAATACCGCTTTGACTAAATGAGAGGAGATCCCTTTTATAACTGTCGATTTTGAGAGTTTATCAGAAAAAATAGATGAAAAAAATTATTATGTTTTACGTCTTTACAGCTCTCTCATCAATGGTTAAAAAGTGGTAGTTACACTTACAGGAATCCAGATTTTCTTTGATATACTTGCGCCTGATAATGAATCTGTAGATGACTTTAAAATAAAAGTAGATAAAATTCTCTGTAATATTATAAATATTTATAATATAAAACATATTAAGGCATTTCCATTACAAGGTTATCATATAGAAAAAAAGTCATATTTACAAATTTTTACATTAGGTAGTGGGAATAGGAAGAAAGCTCTCCAAGCTATCCAAGATAAAAATTTTGAAACTGTCTCAAATGATATGTTCTCATTTCATCGTAAAATAGCTAGAAAAAATGGAATCACAATTTCTAGTTGGTCTATGATGAGTAAGTATAGATACAGAAGACAATCTCATTATACACATGATTTTCGGATTTCTATAAATAATTTTTGATCAGTAGAAGATCTAAAAATGATAGGTGACCATTTTCCAATTTCAGTACTCATGAGAGATTGTATGCTTATCCTTACATAAGATATAGAGACACAATTACGAGAGTTGGGCAAATTTGCTGAAATACATGATGAAGAAAATATTGTATTTATGATTTGTATGACCTTACATTGGAAAGATGATCCAAGACCATTAAAATAAATCTGTCTTGTTGATCTTGAAACTGCACCAGACCCACGATAGGTAACAGTTGTATGTAGGAATCAGATAAATTTACTAAAAGCATTCGCATTATGCTGGAAAGCCTTCATCCCTGATATTCAACTCAGATTTAGTGATTCCGAATATGATTGGCCATTTATTATGGAAAGAGCTTATAGACTTAATATTCTTGAATAGATATGAAAACAGATGATGGAAAGATTTAAATCAAAGAAAGAAATTCTAAAATGGAATTATTATGAAAAAATAGGAGCAAAATCTAAAAATAGTTTTCAAATTAGTAGAGCAAGTACCAAAGGTGCTAAAAAAGATGTTATTGATAATAGTGAGAAAGAAAATGATAGGGTACAGCCAGTTATAATCAAGATTAGTCCAGAGAATAATTATATTTCTACTTTTCTTAAAGTACCAGGATGTGTACCAATTGATATACGTGCATGTTTTAAGAAACTTTACCCTCATGCAGAGGTTGATAGGAAAAGTTCACTTGCATTTTACTTAAAAATATGTGGATTGGGGGGTAAAACGGATATGCCATATAACAAAATATGGAAAATTTATTCAAAAGTGAAAGAAAATATTTTCCTAAATAAATCACATTCTACTATAGAAAATATATGTAAAGTAGTATATTATTGTATTATAGATGTATTGCATTGTCAGGAGCTTATGGTTAAGCAGAATGTAATTAATGATTATAGGGAGGTCGCTTCTATAGCCTATGTATTTTTGTTTAATTCACATTATCGGGTAAATAGAATGAAGATACGAAATCTTCTGGGGACTTATGCCACTAAACGTAATATACTATTTAGTACGAGATCATGTAAAAATATAGAAAAAGGTAAGTATCCCAGTACATACGTATTTCCACCTAAAAAAGGAATTAAGACGAAGAGGCCTGTTATAGGACTAGATTTTGTATCTTTATATCCTAGTCTTATTATAGCTTACAACCTTTCTCCAGAAAAAATGATATTAACTTATAGCGAGGCTGATATTGTATAAAAAAATAGAAATAACTTGCATAAGATTGAGTTTCCATTTAATAATCATATTATTCATGCTTGGTATGTAAGACATGATAATCAATTTGAGAAGAAGGGTTTATATCCTATTATATTAGAGGATCTATTCAACAAGAGAGTAAATCTTAAAGCACAACTTGCTTTATTAGGAAAGAAAAAGAAACATATTGGGAAAATGATAAGTTCAGTTAAAGAAAAAGGTAAAAAAATCCCAGAAAGCTTAAATTCAGAATATTCATCTATATGTTTTGATTATAATTATTTAAATTCCAAGCAGTTTGCTTTAAAGGTATATATGAATACTTTTTACGGAGAAGCAAGAAACAGCAAATCTCCATTCTTTCTTCGTGAATTGGCTAGAGGAATCACTTCTGCGGGTCAATATAATATTAATCTTGTTATCAAATTTGTATCTGGAAAAGGTTTTGGAATAAAATATGGTGATACTGATTCTTTATATCTTACCTCTCCAGATAAGTATTATGAAAAATGTGATAGAGCTTTTAATGAAAACTGGCTTTCCAAGGATGAATACTGGTCTGAAATAGTTAAAATTACTATGGTTGTGATGAAGAAGTTATGCAATCAAGTAAATATTTACCTTAGGATAAAAAATGGTACATCTTATCTTAAAATAGCATATGAAGAGGTATTATTCCCTGTTTGCTTTACCAGCAAGAAAAAATACTTCGGTATACCACATGAAGAAGTTATCAATTTCAAGCCAGATAATCTCTTTAAAAAAGGGATTGATACTGTAAAACAAGGCCAGTCTCAGCTTTTCAAATTTATTGGTGAAAAAATTATGTGGGAAGCTATGGATATAAATAATACACGATCAATCCATGAAATTGTTGAAGATACTCTTAGAGAAGCCAAACATAAACAATGGGACTTTAGTCAATTTATTGGAATAGCTATGTGGAAGTCTAAGAAAAAAAATCCTCGTGTCCAGCATTTTATAGCTCAAATGAAAGAAAAAAAATTAAATATCCCAGATCCCGGTGAACATTTTAGTTATGTAGTAATAAAAGGTGAGCATTATTATGATGAAAAGAATCAATTAATATAGTATAGAATTAGCGATTATATGGAATATCCAGAGTTTGCAAAAGAGCAGAATATGGAAATAAATATCAACCACTATTTAGAAAGTATGTTGGGATTGTGTGCGCGGTTTATTAATGAAGATGAGAAATATTAATCATCATCTTCACATAAAATTATGCAACTTGAAGATTTAGATGAGAAAGAAAAACAAATTGATGTATATTCCCAAAGAGAAGCTAAAAAATGGCTTATGAAATATATCAAAGCCTTGAATTGATTGGCTGTGTTATGCTATATTGTTAAGTATTCTTGGTTAAAATTGCCAGACTTCACTAAGATACTTGTACATTATTAATAATATTTTTTGTACATAAATAATATTGAAGTTCAAATAGATAGCCTGTTATCGGATCCACGTATTCCATAGCCAATTACTTTTTTATTGTGGAGTGGACCATAAGGTGACTCTTTGAATCCTGGCTCTTTGAGCCTACCTATATTCCACCTGCATACCACGAACTATATAATGGCAATAATTAACAGAGCAAGTAATATATATGCCGATAGTGGTGATATCAAAGTACTTGATATGATGGGAATTGCTCCTATTCCTCCTATTAGAATCTGAGAATGCGATTCAATCAAAGAGGAATTGTGATTTTCCCATTGAGCAAGGTGCGGAGTCATATTTTCAGATATAATTTCACTAATGTTAGTTTCATCACTTACCTCAGGATTAATCTCTGTATCAATTTTTGATAGTTCAATAATCTCATCATATCTCTTTAAGGTACCTAAAGGCCTAGTATATGTTGAGATACCATTATCGATTTTTTCAGTTTGATCCATATTTTTTTCGCGTATAAAATACTTACTTAGATTTTTGCTAGATGAGGCATAGCCTCGAATCTCTAATTCCTTATTAGA